TGTTTACATCTCGAAATTCAGCTAATTGCGACTTTTTGTCTCACAAAGATGTATTTATATATTTAGTTATTTAGGCGGAATATTATTATATTTAGCGGAAATGAGCCTCCATAGCCCATGTGGACCACAAGGAAGTTTCAGTTAATTTTTTTTTATGATTTTGAAATTAAAACTAATAAATGAATTTATTAAATGTTATTTAATTTATGTAATTTTATAATATTTTACGATTTATTTAATATATTATTGCATATGTGTTTTGTGTGTGAAACATCCTTATCAATGCAGACAATAATGAACCCTCATTTGTTTTCAGGTAGCCATGATGCAATGAGCTACTGTCTGGATATCACTTCTCCTCTGCTCCGATCTGAGTCAGACACATTTAGGTTACTGGATGGAGTTTTCTGCTGTTTCACACGGCCAGCTATTTACAGATGGGCTACCACTCAGGCAGGCTTAATTATATTATTTTGACTGCTTACAATGCTTACTATCTCATAGCAGAGACAGAACAAAGTGTCTCTCCCTTAGCTCTCAAAGAGTGAGTTTATGTCTTGTGCAAATTCATGCGTTTTTACATGAGAAATGTATTTGTACCATTGTATCAAAGCCCTTTATTGTGTTATAAATTAATCAGGTCCAAACCATTGTGGAGCAACTTACAGCAGGCATTCGATACTTTGATCTTCGAATTGCCCACAAACAGTATGATTCTTCCAATGAACTTTACTTCACTCATGTCATTTACACACATGCAACGGTCGTTGTAAGTACATGAGTGTTGAAATGAATTAGCTATTCAAATTTGCCATTTATTCGTTTTGTACATTTTCTGATTTTTAACATGTTGTGTTTTGTAGGAAACACTACAGACAGTTGCTTCATGGCTTGAATCTCATCCCAAAGAAATAATCATCCTGGCTTGTAGTCATTTTGAAGGACTGGATTATAAATGGCATGAGGAATTCATCTATTCTCTGAAGAAAATCTTTGGCTCTAAGCTGTGCCCTTGCAACGTGAGAAACTCTCAGCATGCTAATTATCAATTGCTAATTCTCAGCAAGGCTGCATTTATTTGATCAAACAGTAAGAACAGTATAATGTGAAATATTATTACAAAACAAAGAACTGTTTTCTATTTTAATAGATTTTAAAATGCCATTTATTCCTGTGATGGCTGAGTTTTCAGCAGCCATTACTCCAGTCTTCAGTGTCACATGA